CACAAATGACGCAATTGTGGTCATCGCCATTTGAGCGTTTCTAAGCTTGTGTTTCTGTTGAGATACTAAACCTAATTAAAGGACGATTGTCTGGAATATCACGCTGAGTTACAACACAATAATCCAATTCTGAAAATAGATACATTCTTCAGAGAAGTACAGCGATGTAAAGCTAAGTAAGAGTGAAATGAATAATTGTGATCAGATTTCTTAAAAATGTGTCACGGATTTAAATCCGTTGTTCTCCTATCTTTAAATAATGGCCGAGGACTCCGAACCGATAAACCATTGCATCGATGGTGCTGAATTCTAGTGATCAAGATGCAGGTTATCTGAATGTCATGGCACCTGGGGCGCGAATTATGAAACTTCCAAAATTATTCCGTTCTGAGAAAAAAAAAACGGGACTGGTGTCCTATGTTCTGCCTCCGTGCTAATGACGATCTCGATAAGTTGAGAATTGTGCCATGGCTCTGTGACGTCAGAGCTGAAATCCAATAACCTGCTTTGAAGTATGGGCGACACATGTCCCCTGAGAAGCTAGTCCATCCGCCTTGAAGATGCATTTATGCTTCGTTAAACTCCAGATCTCTGGGGAAAGGACCAGCATCAAGTGGATCTGTTGCGTTCAGGGATGAAATATAAAAACTAGGGCCTGTGCTCTATCCTACATTTTTTTTTTAAAAAAAAGAGAAGACGTTCCAGGAGCCCCTGTTAACGAGGCCCACACTGTTTGAGTATCTTCAAGAGTTTTTGTTCGGTAGTTTGGGCATGAAGGTGATGGATTGTGTTGAGATTTGAGAAAAGTTCTTAACGAAGAACTTCATAATGATTTACAGTAAATGACGAGTGACCTGATCAGTGTCTAAACTGGGATGGACCGGAATGGAGAAAAATCCCTTTTGTAAAGGTTAATCGAACAAGTCGCGAAATGCACGTATCGCTAACCATTTCTGGTGTATTCACCAGAATTTGAACTTCAATCTTTGCGAAAATAATCAGTGCCGTTACAATGTTCTGTCTTCAATGCACTGTCTCTGGACGTGGTGTTTTGTGATTACTGAGGGTCCCGCGAGACTCCTCCCTCACGTACTTGAGCGGCTGCCTGGTGCTTTCCAACGAGGGTTATCCAGAGGTGTAATTTCTCAATATCGAATTCCGTGTCCAGTCACCTCCGTACGAAACAATACACAGGCAAAATGTTTTCACGTGAAGTCTCCGTTGATGTGCCCGGTTGTAATTGAAACTAAAATGTCGACAAAGGTTTAAAACTCCCCGGATTCAAATTCCATGAAAATTCTTTCAGAGATTCTCTAGTTGGAACATACGGACCGACGGACAGACATACCAACATGGCAAAGCTAATAGATTTAATCCAATTTCAGACGTTTGTGGTGATAGTGATGAACTTTTGGGTTTGATTGCCAGAAATCTACAGTTTCCTTACTTACAGAACGTAATAATTTTTAAACAAGGTTTTGAGTCAGATTTTGTTATACAAAGCGAATCCACTTTAC